GCATACTCGAGTGTAATCCAGAGGAGGTCGGGCTGCTGGAAGCTAGCGGCTGCTGTTTAATGTAAGGAGACACTCCTGATGAAGCCCAATGTGCCGAGGCGGCTCCATACGGCGAATGGCACTCCAGAGAGCCGCTCATGGCCGGCGGAGAGTGCAGCGGACTGTTGCTGTTGTCTGGGCCGTACTCGCCGTTGGAAGCGACTTGGCACGCCGTCATGTATGTAGAACCCGAGCTGGGCGACATGTGTGAGACATGATGGCCTGCTGTACTGAGGCCATCGTAACCCGTGTGAACGCCAGGCACAGGGTTGCTCATCATGTCCAGGTTGTAGCCGTTGGTATGGCAGGCCAGGGACGCGGAGGGCGACTGGAAGTCGAAGTTTTGGGGCAGCATCGAAGCGCCGAAGCCGATGCCGTTCATCATGCGGTACATGGGTTTGAGAGCCTGGCATTTCCTTCGGAAACCACGGGGCCTGCGTCGGAAAGAGCCCTCCTCGAACATGAACTCGCTCCCGGGGTCGATGGTCCAGTAGTGGCCTTTGCCCGGCCGCCCGAGGCCTTTGGGAAGTTTGATGAAGCACTCGTTGAGAGACAAATTGTGTCTGACAGAGTTTTTCCAGCCTTGGTAGGAACCCCTAAAAAACGGGAAACGCGCTTGGAGGAACTGATAGATTTCACTCAGCGTTAACCTTTTGGTCGGGGAGCTCTGTATCGCCATGACTATGAGGGCGATATAGGAATAAGGCGGCTTTTCGGGGCGTCTCATGCCCGAGTTGGACTTTTTGCCCTTGCTGCCGGTCGCAGCTGTGCTCTCCAGCGCTGTCTGTGTGCTCTGAAGCGCCGAGTGCATGGTACTGGATGCCGGGCTGGATCTGATGGGAGCCGGCGTCGGGTCCAGCTGCTGCTGAGAGCTCTCAGTCGTCATTGCTAAGCCTTGTAGCCCAAAGGAAGCTGAACGGATGTAAAAATACGGGTTTAATTTTCAAAAGTAGAGTCAGGGTTAAAAAATAAATGAGAAAACTCTGTGTACTCCAAGCAAATCTCTTTTAAAAGCCAATTACTCTTCAAGGCGGCCGAGGTCAGTGCGCCACAATTCTGCTCTGCTCGCAGAACGCGCTCCTGGTTGAAGCCACCAGCTGTGTGTCGCCCGGATAGCGACCCCTCCTTAGTCTCTTGGTGGCCATCGTGAAGACTAATCCTTTAAGAGAAGGAAACTCAATGCTCCAGAGTCCTCTGGCGCAAAGACGTGCGGCCAAACAAAACGCGACCACCTATCAATTCGTAAATCTCTCTCTGCCCCCTAGATCCCCACTAAATTCCTCCAAGAAATCTCCTCAAACTGCAGAGACCCACCCCTTTCCATGTCTGGCATGCCTCCAGCTATCGGTCTGGCAGGAGGCTGTGCAGAGTCCGAGGAGAGAGACTCCCCACCTCCCCTCTGACAGCCTAAATACACGCAATAACGCCATTTATCAAGCCTAGTCCGACGTTTCAATCAACAGCGCCACACGCCAAACACAGGGGCGAAGGCTGTCAGAGCTTCAGTAATTAATGGCGTGTTTTGGTGAGAGTTCTGGCACTGGAAAACGGGAGGTTTAAATAGAAAAGCACTTCTAGTGAGTGGTACGATGTAACGGCGCGTTTGACCGTCTGGAGAAGTAAGTGCGAAGCGAGAGCACATCGCTTCGCCGAAGAGAGAAGAATGCGAGCACGTAAGGCAGTGACCTGGTTGAGCGTCTTGTAAAGTACGCATGATGGGGGTGGGCGAAAAAAGTCCATCTCCAAGTGTATACAAGTTCTTGTAAAGGGCTGTTCTGGATAAATGATTTTGACATGAGTGGAAGCAGGATTTTTCCATCAGCCGCTGCGCCAGTGCTCATATACCACACACAGCGCAGTGTCAGTTTACCATCCCAGACCCCTATCATCCCCCCTGAGAGAGGGACTAATTAATTGTGGAAAGTGAGCTTAATTGGCCATACGGAAAAAAAAACGAGAGAAAAAAAATATCTCCAGTGCAACGCAACATGTATGATTATCGTGAAAGAAAAATAACAATAAATGCGCAAAGTCACTTGATTTTATATTAAATATTTAATACAAAATATCCAACTTAACGGTGCATGCCGAATGACAATAATAATAATCATATTAATTATTATTATTATTTTTTATGCTTGCATAATCCAAGTAGTCGGTTCTGTAATTAACGAATTTTGTTTTATTATCATTACGCGTGTCAAAGATTAGGCCTATTTAGAACAATTCTTTGTGTGTGTATTTATTTGCTCTGTAAACTAATCTGTTCTACTACTGTTTACTGTTGGCCTTTTTTAATTTGGCTTCGTCGTGAATACGCGCACTAAAATATACGAATGCAACGCGAGGGCAGTTTTCACAGCCGTGCCTCATAGGCAGAAACAAGCAGTCTTTATCAAAGCCAACAAAAGGATGTAGAGATAAAATCAGCCCTCGTCATAACAATAAAGGTAAAGAAAATAATCGCCACAAAAATTCCCGGCAACATCAAACCCACTATCCCCGCTGCGTTCAGGATGCACGCTTGGCTTAGAAAAAGCGTGCGCGGTGCAGAAGAAAAATACGTGAAAGACTTTGAAGGTTTCTCATTGTGGGGATAATGTTGTATTCTTGTATTAGACTGCTGGATTCCTCTACTGTTGTAGCTGACCTTTTGACTAAAGGTGACTCTGAGTCGGCGTTTGTCAATGCTAAGAGCAGAATAATGCCGAAATTAGAGGTTTTTACTCTCCTCGTGACAAGAGGCACTTCGGGGGACGGATATTTGCAGTTCTGGACAGAAAATATAAATATTGAATTGCTAAATATATCTGTGTCCGCTCTCGGGGAAACTCTGCGAAGAAAAAACAAAGCCCTGAGTTCTCGAGGCGCCTATGAGTGACATAAATATATCTAAATATATCTGTGTCCGCTCTCGGGGAAACTCTGCGAAGAAAAAACAAAGCCCTGAGTTCTCGAGGCGCCTTCGAGTGACGAATGTTTCTCTCCCTCACAAGTCCAACAACTTCAGCGATTGTTTAAATTGCAATCAAACAAATAAACTGCATGATGATAACAAAGATTACGCTCTTTGGGGAATTGCTGACGTGGATTTTAATTTTCCCTGCATCTTCATTTTGCTATGAAAAATACAAAAAAAAAAAGAAAACAAAGTTGGATACCTATTAAAAATCTAACCAACAACCAGTTATTTTTTGTAATATGTGTATTTCCTTTCCTATATATATGTGTAGAAATATATAGAATACCATTTGACCGTGTGAAAGAAATGTGATTACAATAATCTTGTTTTTGAAATACCACACTTTTGCCCGCTGTTGTGTAGCAGATATTGTACATTACGTCCTGTAGGTTGCAGTACAGTCTCTCCAGATGATAGACCCTTTAAACGCCGTAAATAGCAACAGGCCTTGTCAGTTTGATTGGTGGTAATGGCTTTCTCCTGACGTCACATTACACTTAATACGTAGAAGTTGAGTTTTATTTTATTATTATTTTTTTTTTTTTTTGGTTTGGCCAGAGCAAGTGTCTAATCACAGTGTTGCAGACTTAACATAATGTCGATTTCAATTATGTGAATAACAACATTTGTGACTGTAACATTTAGGAACTATAAAGGATACAAATATACTGACATTAATATATCGACATTTTAACTTTTGTGGGTTATTATCCTGCGCACGCGAATGATTATATTCACTTTTTTCCCTTCATTAGCTCGTTAATTCGTCAATTTAATGTGCATCTGATATCATAATTCCCCAAATCGTGCTTATGAAACGGTCTGCCTTTTAGGAAGATTATCTGTTGGAACGTGTCTATTTGACCTAAGCAAAATTGAGGCTCTATATACGATATCGATAATGACATTGAATTAACATACATGGTCAAATAAATAAATAAAAGTAAAAAACGAACGAAACTGTAGCAATAATAACAACAATTACTGCTACACTCTAAAAAAATGCTGGGTTGTTTCAACCCAACTTTGGGTCAAATATGGACTAACCCAACTTTTGGGTTAAATATTTAATGTAAAATTTTAACCCAACAGCTGGGTTAGTCCATACTTGTTGAAATATGGTTGAAACAGCACAGCATTTTTAGAGTGTGTGTGTGTGTGTGTGTGTGTGTGTATATATATATGTATATGTATGTGTGTGTGTGTGTGTGTATCTGTATGTGTATGTATATATGTATATGTATATGTGTGTGTGTGTATGTGTATATATATATATACATACACACGAAAAGTGTTTGAGGGATATTTCTGCTATGTTTGAAGCAGAAGCAAGGGCATAGATTTACAAATTAAGCATTTTATTGTATATCTTAATACTGTACTTGGCCTTGACAGCTGAGTTATGTTATCTTATCTTCAGGACCGTGGACAGCTCGTGGAAACGTATTCAACGATTTCACCCTGCGTCCCTTTGCGATTTCATTTCAATATTCACAGCTGCCTCAAACTGAAGCTGCTTTATCTTGATTTATTGTCCTTCACCAAAGTCTCAAAAACAAGAGGTATCAGTCTCAACGCGCTGAATTATTAATATAGTGCACATGTTAAGGATGCGGATGCAGGGGAAGTGTGAAAACAAACAGAGGCGCCCAGACAGAGGACAACAGCACATGCAGGTATGCTATAAAACTCTCTGGCCATTGCAAACATAATAACATTGTAAAAATATAATCAATAACATAATTGAGGGTTAATTCAGGATTATTGGGACATTTTTCCCCAGTCGTCTCAATGACAAAAGTGTCCTAATTTACTTGAATTCACCCTTACATTATGAGAAAACGAGTTGGAAAACGTGATTTTGTTTGTTTTATGAATCACGTTGTACTTCCAGTCAACATTTGCTATTTTAACTCACAATAAGCAGCACTGTCAGTAATTGGGCGAAAATGTTATAATTCGTGAAATATATTTGCACACATGACAGAATTCACAGAATAATATACTTTTTCAAACATCTGCCGATAAACGTATTGATTGATAGGAATCGATTTACTTTTAAAACATGTTTTATTATTCAATATAAAATGCGCATGCATTCTGTCAGCGAAAGTAGTTTACAATAATTCCAGTTTAGATGCAGCTAGGAGCCTCACTTTCTTTATAAGAACTCAAATTGATCTCGTCTCTAGTTTATCATGAACAGCAAATCTGAAATGAAAACAAGTTTACTTTGATAAGACTCGCTTGAGGCACCTGGTTCAACACACTTAGAACAAACACAAATGACAAATAAATACACAGATGACAGCTTAAAACATCACAACCGTTCAGTAGGACAATACAAATAGAATATTAAATAGTTCACAACTTTCACTCCTTGCCATTTTGAATAAAACATTCCCGGACGATCTTTATGCAGGCGGATGAAATGTATGTCTTTATCAAGTCACAAGTGCTCAGAAAGTGCCAAAGTACCCCACCCTAGAACCACACGATATTACGACAACAAATAGTCAATTTTGAACGGGTGAAAGCCCGGCACGGGCGCTGCCGCAGTCGTGTGTGGGATCGACAGGCACTCGGATGTCAGCTGGAATGGGAAAAAGTCCCGTTGGTGACGGCAGCTGATGGCGGGGTCCTCCGGGGGCCCGTAGGGTCGAAGCACCTGCGTGTGAGGAAGAGCCACAGGGGAGCCTCGCATGACATAAGGCAGCAGCATGTCCACTCCCCCCTGCCAGGTGTCAGCTTTGTGAACGGGGCGTTCCTCTTTCCTGAAAGGTCGGCTGAGGATGCTGTCAATGGCGAAAGAGCTCGTGAACTTGGTGCTGGAAGGGGGCGTAACAATAGTGTCCACCGCAGGAGCTTGGCTCGGCCCCTCTGGCTCCTTGCCTGTTTTTTTGCTGATGCGCTTTCTCCTCCGACGAAACACTCCGTCCGCAAAGGTGTACTCGCTCTGCGGGTTCAGCATCCAGTAGTTGTCCTTCCCCCACGGTCTGGAGGGATCCCGCAGCACCTTGAGAAAGCAGTCGTTGAGAGACAGATTGTGGCGCACTGAATTCCTCCAGCCGGTGTAGCTGCCTCGAAAAAACGGGAACTTTTTCATGAGGTAGTCATTGATTTCGGCCAGAGTGAGGCGGCCCGAGTTCGAGTCGCGGATGGCCATGGCGATCAGAGCGATGTATGAGTACGGAGGCTTGGGTCTCCGGGTGTAGGGCTTGCCTTTGCTCTCAGCGCCCGGAGGAACAGGTGCGGGACTGTGCGCCACGCAGTCTCCATCCGAGCCCAGCTCTTCCTCCGCCGACATCGGCGACGGGATGCTGCCCTCGGCGTCGCTGCAGAGCTCCGCGGGCTTGGAGTCGTAGTGACCCCCGCAGAAAACCTCCAGCTTCATTTGCTGAACTTGTGACACTATTAACTGTCCAAACGCTTCTGCCGAGTAAGGTTCCTTTAAAACACACACACACGCACACGGGACAAGCAGCTTGAGAGCTAGAATATCCACGCGGAGCTGTCAAACACGATCCAACGCGTGAGAGTGACAGGACCTGTACCTGCTGCAGATAAGTGCACTTAACATCCCTAGCGCGCGCTCAGCTGTCTAATATAGCCGCTCACCTCCGGGTATGCCTACAGGGGGCGGGGCCTGAGACTTTAAGTCTTAAAATCACTCTTACAAAAACACACGGATCATGCACACCCTGTTTTGAAATAAAGCGGTCGAGCGTATGTGGACAAACATCAGACAGACTCATGATGAATTGCTTTGTTGATTTGAGCCGAGTTTCGTCACAGTGAGGCGGCTTCACCTGCGTCCTTGCTCACCTTTGCTCAACGCGCTCGCGGAAGAATTTCACCTCAGGAAACCAGGGGGCGTGCGTTTATCAGACATGGCACGTCGCGCAGTCAGCCAAAGCTTTACCTATAGGAAGAATAGTCCTTAAAACTATAATAGAGTTAGAATTTGTTTTAACATACTGTAATCACTTCCCAACATTTTTGATGTCAGTGTAGTTGTGTTGATCACATTACTCATTAGTCATTAACTGCAGCGTGTTACATTTGTTGATGATATTATGCTTAACCTCTGGTCTAAAGCATTCCTAAGAGTAGAGCATAACTGTAGAGCATACTGCAAAAGAGGACGTCTTTTAAAAACAAAACAGAGATATCATGACTATGCAGTTGTTTAGCATCCCATTTATACACTTTTACATGATGAATGTCGTTCATGCAGTTAAATAAGATGCATAATGCCAACTATGAATTTAGAGTATAGCTTTCTTCTAATTTTCAAACTCGAGTTATAGGTTGCATCAAAGATTTTAGTCATTAAACACTGAATGGACACATTTTGAGCTGTGTTGCATGTCTAATGTAGTAAAATCAACTTACATTATATTACATAAGCAAGCAGAATGTGCTTTAGAATTATGCTTAAAACATGCATTATAGTTTCCTTCATGTGTTTTGAACATTCAAGTGGTGTCAGAATGTCTAAGACTGTAAATCAGGAGCAGTACAGATATTTGATATATGCTTCAATGCCATGACACTCATTTGTGTCTGGAGACTCCAGACCTGTTAATTAAAAAGAAAACGTATGCATTTCATACATATATTGTCTTGAATATACCTCTTATAATTTTGTACATTTCTAAATTAAAACAATGTTTTAGTGTTAAAGTAAAAAAAAAAAAAGTCAAGGTTCTGCAATCATACTAATACCACGATGAAGAAAAGTCCCTTTAAAAAAAACGAAAAGCTTGCAACTTTAAAGTCGACTTTTTATATTTCACTTGCTCTAAAGTCAACAAAGTCACATATGCTCAGGAGCTTTGTAGTTTTTTATATTTTTAAGTAACTGTGCCAGTATATTCTGCCTTTGATAATTCAATTGCAATATAAATAAATAAGAAAAAATAAATAAATAACAAAAATAAAATAAACTGGGTTTTTAGATATTTTGTCTCATTTTAAGTAGGTCTGATCAGCACCTAACAAAACCACAAACAAAAAAAAAAAAAAAAAAAAAAAAAAAAAAAAAAAAAAAAAAATATATATATATATATATATATGCTACCGCATTTAATATACATCATACGTGAAATAAGACTTTGCCAACAAAACATGAAGCCATATTTGATTATTTATTGAAGCAAATACTAGATTGGTCTATATATAATAAGCATTTAACATTTGATAACTTTTTGTATCTGATGAATGATATAGGAAATGCATTATATGAAAAAAATCTAAATGAACAGTTTAATACATGCACTTTTTTTCTGTTTTCTCCTAGTACTCAAGATTTGAAATGCATATGTTGCATGCCAATACAACCCATAGAGTAATCTTCATTAGCATCAATGGTTTTTCGTTTCCACTGCCAAAGCAACAAGAAAAAGCCCCACTGTCAAGTTTAATATGCTACACATTTTTAATGAACAGTTTATGCCTGAGACACACATCATCATCCTTGGCCTGTTGACTGCTTGTTGCTTTCCATTAACCTGCCGCACAAACAGAGGACACCATATTACGCTCGCTCTCACAGGTTTCATGTGTTGGGTCGGTGCTCCTGCAGGTGTGACGGTGAGAGGATCCTGCTCTCACCAGCGGTCTGAACCATAACTCAAATATTTAGATTTGAAGTGCTTTGCAGATATTCATTAATGTGTGAGAAGAGGTTTACCACACACTCCACAGTCGGCACATTGGATGAAGCAGTAGGTTCCACTTCCAGACTGTGGCCAACCGCAAAAGCACTGGTAATAGCACCTGCAGTACCTCATTACCAGTTAATCGTTTTTCGCTGTATGAGACCGTAAAAACAACTTAAGGGTGTAACAGGGGAAAACTGCGTGATGCATACAGTCCCTCGCTAATTAATCAATTATAATAAGTTGTCTAATGAATGTCCACAACATATTATTTAGATCTCACCTTTGCCATTTAATTTCAAAAGGCAAGATTGGTCTATTTAGTGACTAATGTATGATTTCAATTAGATTTGTAAATATCATTTCAAGGTTCGCTCATTTTTTTGAAGCAGTCAGAGCTAATTAAATCAGACAAATGTAATTATTGTCATACGTGGATCACTACACGCAAAATAGAAAATGTAAAGCTTGTTTTTTAATGAACGTGAGTAACTCTGATGGTGAGATTTGCGTGAAATCGGGACATTTTTCAAATTGGTCAAAATGTGCTATAAATGCACACCACCTGGTTTTCTACACTTAACCGAAGCATTTTTTATGCGCTGTAATGAGCATAAGATTTTGGATCTTGAACTGATATTTGAACGTGGTTCATTAAAACTTGGCCGAATTCTTGATGTGAAATGTCAGATGCTGAGTTATATTTCTTCCAGCAGTCAGGAATGAATGGGTATTCCTCTACGAAAGCCTGGCCTGGACCTGCTTACTCCACACTGGCCTAGCCAAATAAATACAGCACATACTGCGGTCTGTAGCGTTGCGTTATGCAGGGCAGGTTCAACAGAGAATTATGATGGACCAGTGGAGTTACAGGCATGTGCACCCTCTAATTTTCCCCTCCTGTGTTTATATGTGGCTTTCCAGATTGAAATTGTTTCCAGTAATCTGGAGCGCACAACTAACAGGACTGAGCATAAACAGTCGTGAGTGTAGGCCAGTCCTGAGGCGCTTTTTCTTGAACAATGCGAGTGGTATTGAGAAACTGATCGCAACCAAACTCTCTCTATATCAGTCTTTAGTCCATTGTTTCGTTCAGATGATCTCCTTTGCACTGACAACAGACAGTAATAACCATCAGACTCAGTGATATTTTAATACAGTTTGCATTATAATCTTCCTCAGATCCATGTCTACAGTATATCATCAAATGAGCATCTCCATACCGTTTTGATCCATCAAAGTTGTGAAGAAAGAGCACTGAACTCAAAAACTGGTGGACGACCCACTGTTGCGATCTGTTTTCCACAGCCTACTTTCATAACGCTTGTTTATAATCGCAAACAGAAACAGCGCATTCACCATTCAAGCCTAGAGTGATTCTTTCCACACAGTCACATAATAACGAAAATCATCCAGGAACAACTGGCACACAGTCCGACGGCCTCATTGACAAGTATTGCGTGCTTAAATTCGCTCTTTTCAATTAACTATGAAAATGCGGTCAAATGTTGTCAAGGTGTGATCAAGCAGAGTTATTGCATGAAGAAAAATGAAACACAGTGACAAGTGACTAGAGTAGCTTGTGCATTAAAGGTGACCTATTATGCAAAAATCACTTTTATAAGGTTGTGTGGCTGCAGTGTGTGGAAACAACCAGCCTATAATGGTAAAAATCCACCCACTCATTTTTTTACAATCCCAATAAATCATAAACAGTCTCTGTTCTCGGTTCCAGATTTCTCCCTACGTTGACGTCATCGTAGGGAAAAAGTCCCGCCCATTTGTGACGCTCTCTACCCTATTAGCATAGACCCCGCCCTGAGTGAGAAGCAGCAGTCCGCCATTACTGTTTTTTTTGCTGTAGCTGCTGGAGATACAATGTTTCAGCGCCACAGAGGCATTACAAGTGTCATGTGTTGGGATGCACCAATGAACATAGGAGTCTCCATAGACCGCTGAGGACACGGTGGTTCAATTTCATTTTCGAAGGAAATGTCCCGGAAAAAAAACGCTTAAGTCCTATATGTTTGTGCTAATCATTTTACGCCGGACTGCCTCACAAACGAGGGTCAGTTCAGTGCTGGAGTTGTGCAAAGGTTGATTCTGAAAGAGGGATCAATTAGCTAAAGCTAAAGCTTCCATTGTCTCTGCCTGTTTTCACTGATACTGCCTTCACATGCTACAAGAATGATCATAAATATAGGAATGTGGTAGTTAAAAATTGCATATAAAAGCAATGTGAAGTCGACCGCTTGCATTTGTCAAGCTCATAATCACAAGTGGGACTTATAAAGTTTGTGATAGCATACGAAGGCACCATGAGACCAGCTATGTCGTTAATTTTATCGTGCCGTGCTCCCCGTCTGTGTAATTCATAAACACGCATTTATTATGCACAGTACAATCAGATGACTGACTTTTAAACCGAGTACGTTTTCTGTAAAGATAACAGGTTTGTAGTAATAGTGGAATGCTTATTTGCAAAGGCTAGCTCTTGAAGCTCCGCCCTCTTCTGAAAAGGGCCAGCTCATTTGCATTTAAAGGGACAAACACAAAAACGGCGCGTTTTGGCTCATACCCTAAAACTGGCGATTTCAACAAGCTATAAAAAATTATATGTGGGGTATTTTGATCTAGAACTTCACATACACACTCTGGGGACATCAGAGACGTATTTTACATCTTATAAAAAGGGGCATAATAGGTCGCCTTTAATGTCATTGGTGTCATCACAATGAATTTATTAGGAGGCAAACCACTGATTCCTAAACCAAAATGACTAATAATGCACCTAATAATACTGAAACATAAACCAATAAATAAATCAGGAAATATCTGATTGTTAGGAGACAGCTGCTGATTAATTAAGTGATTGATTTTCAAGTTTTATTATAGTGAA